GGGCAGCAGAACAAAAGAAAGACCAGACCTTAGTCCCGCTGATCGCCGGATGCCGAGAAAAGGACCGGGAGATAGTCGAAAGAGACGCCCTCTTTAAAAGAGGAAGAAGTTGATTTCGGGGATGAAGATGAGGAGGTGCCAGATTTCAAAGAGGAGATCCAGCGCCTGGAGTCCCTCCAGAATGCGGGTGAAGAAGCTCGGGAAGCCGAGGCCACCGCGAGTATGGACCTCGATGCAGTGACAAAAAGGATGTTGCAGCGCTCCGTCGATGGTACACCGGCGAAGAGGCTGATAACGTCCCTCGTCCGAGCAGCTGTTAGCGACTCCCTACGGCAGGCGTCCCCTATGCATACGCTACGCACCGCGCTAGCGCAAGCGAAAGCGGACTTGGAGGCGGTTTCCAGTGGCCCCATCCCGGGGTACGAGGGCCTCGTGCACCGGTCTCTCGTTCTGAAGGCTAAGATGCTGGAGCGCGGCGAAAACCGCCCAGCTAGCACCGCGAGCTCCGCTGGAGACGCGAATCTCGGGTTCTCTGCTGGAAGCGGCCTCCGAGTGGATGGGAGAAACCTCCGCTTGGATCGGTTTGGAGGCCGGTGAGAAAAAGCCGTCCAAAGTCCCGTCCAATCGGTTCTTGGCCGACCTCGCCAAAATAACGAAAGGCGAGGCCCCTGGCGACTCCGTATGGGCGGCGCTTCAACGGGAGCGCGGAAGGGAGCGCGCTGCGCGTCACCGCCTGAAGATGCGTAAGGTGCGCCTCCGCCCAAGAGGCTTCGTCGACGCCCAGGATGCTGACGCCGAGTACGCAAGACGCGAGCAGGAAGAGGAGGTGCTGGACTACCCAGCAGGCTCCTGGATCTGCAACTTGTGCTGGGGAACGGTGTGGCCGGAGAACGGCGAGCCGAGGGAACAGTGTAATCTGTACTACAAGCAGAAGCACTGTGAAGGCGTTTTCGCCAAGGACTTTTATGCCTGGGCGAAGCGTCCTTCTGCTGCGGCGTCCTCGGGCGCCAGGTCCCACTGCCGTCCTCACACTGAAAGGGCGAAAGCAAAAGCGTCGAAGCTCTTCGAGGATGACCCAGGATGGGTTTGCCCTAGGTGTCAGAGTCAGAACCTGAGGCAGCGCCGGCTATGCTATAAATGCAGCGCGGCCCGTCCCGCCGGGGAAGAGCCGGAAGCGGGTGCTGCTGAGGTGAGCCCAGAGCTTTTACCTTCCCGAAAGAGGAGGAAGGCCAAGCAAAAGAAAGTGCCAAGAGGGCACTGGGACCGCAGGGTGAAGCACGGACGTGGGACTGTGAGAGCGCTTTGCCTCCGGTCTGCGTCCTGTGCGGCCTTGGAAGGGTGTGGGGCGGAGATGGTGCACCACCTCCCTCCTGCATCCTACGACCCGAGCTCGGGATCGGATAGGAACCATGCTTTTGCGCGTGTTCAGGAAGTTTCGGCCTTAGGAGGAGGAGTCGCCTTATGGGCTGCTCTCCGCATGTGGCATCACGTAGAGGAAGTGGTGGACCACGTGATTGGCGGAGCGGTCATGGTGATCGACTCGGTGGCGCAGACGGCCATCGAGCTTACAGAGTGTGCTGGGCTGGCCCTCAAAGGAGCACTAGTGTTGTGGTTCTTTTGGGTGGCAGCCAGCCTCTTGGAGCCCTACTTGTGGGCTTGGGCGCCGAAGTTTCGTTTCTTCCCGTCCGGGCGCAACCCTGAAGCTAACGTGGAAGGGGCGCAGCTTTGCTTCCTGTGCGGAGGGCCACTTAGCCAAGGCCTGCCCTGCCAAAGACCTATAGGCTTCGAACGAGACGTGCTTTCACGTGCCGTCGGCCTAAGGAGCAGTGGGGTCCCGAGTTGGAAACAAGGTAGCAGCAGTGCGAGGTGTCCGGGTCGGGCGGTAAGAAGTACTTAGTTGTCGCACCGCTGAACAACCCGGCTACGTCCACTCCGGAAAGCCCTGCAAGCACCTCGCCTACGCCGCGTTGTGCAGGGCCGAGAGTGTTTTGAAGCCGAAGGCGAAAGCCTCCGAGACGGCCGCGCGGCTCTTGAACCTGAGGAGGGACCCGGCCGTCAGGTGGCGTTTCGCCCCGACAGCGGGTCCCCATGGCGTGCTACTTCACGAAGAGCCGGGTCCGGGGTCCGAAGCCGGAGGTCTTCCAGTAGTGGAGCAGCAGCGGCGGGGCCTGCTGCGGCTTCGTCGGGCACAAGGCCGTTGGCTCTCGAGGACGCCCCTTGGTTCAGGAGCAGGCTTGCCGCCATCGGAAGGATGGGCGATTCTTAGGTCAAAGCTAGGGATGCCGAGCAAGGAGAACCTCCCGTACGGCACCAAAGCTCCTGAGGTAGCCGAAGAGGGTGTGCCTTCGGAGTTGGCGACAAGGTGCCAGCTGCTGGAGTTCAAGGTCAAGGGACTCCAAGCACAGCTCCGCGCGTACAAGAAACGCGACGAGGAGCAGGAGAGGCTAGAATCAGAGCCATGGGCTTTGCAGCATCGCGGGAACGTCAGCGAGAATAGTTCTCCTCAGGGTTTGGAGAATCTTGGCGTTGCCGCACGAGGCGGGCAGGTGGTGGAGTTTCTCGCCTCTGCCGCTTCGATGCAGGAAGAGTGCTGCAGGATGTGCGAATCCTGTGGGCCTGAAGATGTTTTTTGGGTCCTGGCGTTCAGCTTTGACCGCCGGGAGCTTGCAGAGAGCTTGGCCCGACGCTCCTGCTTCTCGACCGGAAACAAACGCTCCAGGGTCCAGCGGAGCAGCAACGCATAGCCCTGCAAGCTGCTGCCCTGGGGGTTAAGGTGGTTCTGGCGAGCGGAGGTCCTTTGACCGAACAGTACGAACAGGCGGGACGAGGACGCATTTTGGCTGGAATGACAGGTGTCGTCCACGCCAAATGTTGTCTTTTGTGGCGCGCCAGTACGTCACTGGAGCTCCTGACTGGGAGCGCGAACTTCACGACTGCCTCGCGGGCCAATCGAGAGTGGGCCTTTCGGATCCACTTAGACGCGCAAAGCGAACAGGCCAGAGAAATCTCTCAGTGGGCTCAAGGCATAGTGGAGTCGAGCGTTACGCTGGACTCAGGGCGTTTGTCCAGTGCACGTTCTCAGCGAGCGAGGAGTGCCTCCCCAGGGAACTAAGGGCTCCTCTACGCTCCAGCTTTTCACGCCCGGAGCGCCTCTTTGGAGAGCGGCTTCGTGGGGTGGCGGGCAGTGATGCTACTGTTTTGGGCTGCAGGGATGGGGGCGACTGAGAAGGTAGGACCTCTGTACAGATCCCTGATGCCCCCGCGTAGCTAGCTTTCCGTAGCCGCCTGTAGTTTGCAAGTCTAGTTTGTATGTTTGTTTAATTTTGGCTCAAGCCGTGACCAGCGAGCAACGCTGTGCTAAAAGAGAGTGTGCGCCCTGCTTGCTTTGTGTTCTGAGTTAGGCTAGGAGAGTTCCCTCCTTGCA